CTGCTGCCGTTGCTGCTGCTGCTGCTGGTGCTGCCGCTGACAGAAGTGTATCAAAAGCACCTCCCGGCACCAAAACAGCAAGGCACGGAAGGACGAACAGGCTACAGAATCGCACCGAAAAACTCTCTAACGTGACATCTGGAATCCTACTAGAACTGAAGACCTGAGGGAACTGATGGATACTAGGCTGCTGCCACCAAAAAGCACCTCCCGGCACCAAAACAGCAGGGCACGGAAGGACGAACAGGCTACAGAATCGCACCGAAAAACTCTCTAACGTGACTTCTGGAATCCTACTAGAACTGAAGACCTGAGGGAACTAACTGATGAAGGACACTAGAAAGCTGCTGCCGTTGCCACTGCCGCTGCTGCTGGACTTTCTGGAATCCGACTAGAACTGAAGACTTGAGGGAACTGATGAAGGAGACTAGAAGGCTGCTGCCGTTGCCGCTGCTGCTGTTGCTGCTGCTGGACTTGCTACTGCCGCTGCTACTGCCACTGCCGCTGCTCTTACTGCTGCTGCTGCTGACAGAAGTGTACCAAAAGCACCTCCCGGCACCAAAACAGCAGGGCACGGAAGGACGAACGGGCCACAGGATCGCACCAAAAAACTCTCTAACGTGACTTCTGGAATCCTACTAGAACTGAAGTGAAGACTTGAGGGAACTGATGAAGGATACTAGAAGGCTGCTGCCGTTGCCGCTGCTGCGGACTTGCTGCTGCCGCTGCTACTGCCATTGCCGCTGACTTCTGGAATCCTACTAGAACTGAAGACATGAGGGAACTGAAGCATACTAGAAGGCTGCTGCCGTTGCCGAGCTCGACTCATGGACACCACTCGAAACGCTGAAACGCCACCTAATTTCATGCCAAAAACGCTCCAAAAGGGACCGGGAAAAGTGCCTAACGTTGCTTCTAAAACCCTAGAAAAAAAGATCTTTTGCCTGCCCTCAAAGCCTAGAAAAAAAGATCTTTTGCCTGCCTTTGTGACAACTGTCTTGTCGCGTCCTGTCGCTTTGACGTCAGCTGCAACAGCTCGACTCATGGACACCACTCGAAACGCTGAAACGCCACCTAATTTCGTGCCCAAAACGCTCCAAAAGTGACCGGGAAAAGTACCTAATGTTGTTTCTGAAACCCTAGAAAAAATCACCTCCCGGGGGAAAACACCCTGCCTCTGAAGGACGAGCTAGGTCCAAAACCACGCCAAAAAACTGCCTAACGTGTCGTCTGAAATCCTAGAAAAACAACATTTTTCGACAGCTTCTGTTGCCTGCGGCTGCTTTTGCCTGCGCCTGCTGCAGCTAAACAGCTTCGAACAACTCACCTCCCGGGGGAAAACCCCATGCTTCTGAAGGACGAGCTAGTTCCAAAACCACGCCAAAAAACTGCCTAACGTGTCGTCTGAAATTCTAGAAAAACAACATTTTTCGACAGCTTCTGTTGCCTGCGGGTGCGGCAGTAAAACAGCTTCGAAAAAATCACCTCCTCCCGGGCGGAAAACACCATGCCTCTGAAGGTGTTGTTGTTGTTGTTGTTCTTCTTCTTGTTGTTGTTGTTGTTGTTGTTGTTGTTGTTGTTGGTGTTGGTGTTGGTGTATGGACACCACTCGAAACGCTGAAACGCCACCTAATTTCGTGCCCAAAACGCTCCAAAAGTGACCGGGAAAAGTACCTAATGTTGTTTCTGAAACCCTACAAAAAATCACCTCCCGGGGGAAAACACCCTGCCTCTGAAGGACGAGCTAGGTCCAAAACCACGCCAAAAAACTGCCTAACGTGTCGTCTGAAATCCTAGAAAAACAACATTTTTCGACAGCTTCTGTTGCCTGCGGCTGCTTTTGCCTGCGCCTGCTGCAGCTAAACAGCTTCGAACAACTCACCTCCCGGGGGAAAACCCCATGCTTCTGAAGGACGAGCTAGTTCCAAAACCACGCCAAAAAACTGCCTAACGTGTCGTCTGAAATTCTAGAAAAACAACATTTTTCGACAGCTTCTGTTGCCTGCGGGCGCGGCAGTAAAACAGCTTCGAAAAAATCACCTCCTCCCGGGCGGAAAACACCATGCCTCTGAAGGTGTTGTTGTTGTTGTTGTTGTTGTTGTTCTTGTTGTTGTTGTTGTTGGTGTTGGCGTTGGTGTTGGTGTTGGTGTATGGACACCACTCGAAACGCTGAAACGCCAAATCACCTCCCGGGGGAAAACCCCATGCTTCTGAAGGACGAGCTAGTTCCAAAACCACGCCAAAAAACTGCCTAACGCGTCGTCTGAAATTCTAGAAAAACAACATTTTTCGACAGCTTCTGTTGCCTGCGGGTGCGGCAGTAAAACAGCTTCGAAAAAATCACCTCCTCCCGGGCGGAAAACACCATGCCTCTGAAGGTGTTGTTGTTGTTGTTGTTGTTCTTGTTCTTGTTGTTGTTGTTGTTGTTGTTGGTGTTGGTGTTGGTGTTGGTGTTGGTGTTGGTGTTGTTGCAACCTCTCTGCCCTGACGCGCTCCCCCTTGCCGTCGGCCGGGGTCGGCGGATATACATACATTATATATATATATACATACATTATATATATACATACATGATATATATATATACGTATATATATATTATATGTGTGTGAACAATTGTGAACATACCTGTATGTGCTGAATGTATAGATGTATATACAATTGTAAGGCGTGGTCCATGTGCTAGTATGTCCTTTCTGTTTCAGCTGTTTGTTCCAGTAGATGCACGACTGTGACTCAGCTGAAAACACGGAGATTCAAGCGAGCAACACAGAAGCTTGTCACTCAAATCATCAAACGTGCAAGGTTATCTCCTTAAATACCAACAGTGCCCCCAAAGGCAATCTGAGCAGAAACACAGTGTCCTTTTGGAGCACCGCACATGTACACAGAAATATATACACATATATATATATAATATTATGTGTATATGTTTATATAAGTACCTACGGTAACATTCATATCCGCCTATCAACATGCACTGGTGGCAGATAGGTGGTGTTTAGTGAAGTTGTTAGTCATTGAGGCTCTCACAGCTGCCCGGGTCACCGAAGGAGACTCGGTCCGTTGGGGGTCGGGTCCCGGGTTCCTGGGTTTGACTTCAAATTGAGGCCTTCCCCAAGAAACAGATGTTTTCCGCTTTATAGAGTGAGCCAGCTCCAGTCCAGACAACTCTTGGTGATTTGAAAATCCAGGTTCCATGTACGAGAAGCGCAGCACATCCAAGTGCTATCCTCATCCCCGCCATCACTAGGACTCCGATGGATCCCCAGGCCGTCGTTTGATGTCGCCTTGAATTTGACCTTAGTCACATTGGACATGGCGTGGTCAGGTTCCCAATTTTGTGGGGACTAACGTCTACTGTCTACTCACCCTTCCCGCGGCTGTCATGATTCTTGATATTTCTTGATTGTGTTCGCTGTTTTAGACATTGGAGCAGTGAAGTGATCTTTGGCGTGTTGGATCATTAAGACCCGCATGCTGAGAGTGCAATGTTAAGCATTCTGTAGATATTGACGCTGAATGGCATCCCCTCCGTGCATTGATCTGTGCTGTCGCTCATGTTCCCCCAATTGTAGCGCAGGTCATATTTCTGTTTCGAGTGATGAGGCAGAGATCAAGGACGGGATGGTTTGCCAGGGCGCTCACAACATCCACGGAATTGTGTTTCACGAGTGTTGCAGATAGAGTATGTATGTATATTCATGCAAATTGATGTAAATTGATGTATATTGATGTATTATATATATATATTATATTTATGTATATCTATATAATATTGAATATGCATATCTATGCATGGTACTCGTACTATTATTTTTTATAGCTGGTAGCTGGACATGATGGTGGCATCCCAACAAGCTGCGATGATAGCAACTGCCCCAGGATCGCCTCAAGGCACGTTGGGCTTGCATGAAAAGATCTAAAAGATCCAAAAGGTCCAAAAGACCTAAAAAATATTATATAAAAAGATATTAACATATTTAAAACATCTAAAACATCTTAAAACCAGAATTTCTTCGGTTCTGGATCTGCTTGCCGTCCCAACCTTTTCCTTGGCTTTGATGTACTATGTCGAGCACGCTTTCTAAATTCGTCTACTCTCATTCTTTGAAACCTGGGTGACAATCCCAGCAAACATGCAGGCACTGCTGAAGCACAGGCCTGTGAAAGGCGCGGGGAAACGGATCCCCACAAACAGGCTGCAGCGGCTACATATGTGACGTCTTCCGGAAGAGATCCGAATCCGGCTGCAGAGGTATGGGGAACAAGGCTGGTGGACACAGCATTCGATTTCCAGGACCGATATCCTCATCCTAATTGGATTTCAGCCGGTTTTTCTCAATCAATCCCTTTGGCAAGCTGCTCTAGCAAGACTTTGGATTTCAAGCCATTTTGTTGCTGAACATAATATAGATGTTTGATTGCCACCTGAAAGCTTGTGGAGCTAGGATGCCACGCTTCAGAAAATCAAACCTCATCAGCCCCTGCCAGTGCTGGGCCATCAGATCAGGAGCAACACGTTGTGCTCCACTGCAAGGAGCAGGAGCACACTGCACAGCCGGCCTATGTGTTTGTTTTGAGCCAGTTTCTCTTCTTGTGTTTGAATATGGACATGATTCACAGTCTTTGAAAAAGCATGTAAGTAGTAAATAGGAGATCTGATGAACCTTCTGAAGGCACACTGACTCTAGCATCACAACGTACCAAGTAAGTTTGGCCTGAGGGTCACATCGATGCACATTTCCAGGGCTCGGATTCATAGCACAATCGTTCCGCCGCCCAAAGGACCTACAACCCGTGGCCCAAAAGATGGAAGTGTCAATTTCAATCCAACAGGAAGCACCTCAGGTGCTCATACCCACTTTGTTGGATGGGGCAAGCACGGCAAGCACGGCAAGCACAGCACAAGTAAGTGCCTTGAGTATTCCACTGGGATGCAGTAGAAAACATCAGATTTGGAAGTGTAAATTGTAAATCAGTGTCAGGCTCAAGCTGCAGAGCCTCTTGCTTTGTTGTTCTCAATGACAGACCTCACGGAGCCACTCATGCAGCCTGACCTCGAGGCTGGAGAAGTGAAACTGGAGGAGGAAGTCCAACCGCAGAAGGAAGTGAAACCGGAACAGCCTCAACCAAAGTACGAGGATCTTTGGTACGGCAATCTATTCGGGCTCATTAGCCTTGATGTGCTGCTGTGGAAGCACAGGCTCACTCGTATGACGAGCAGGCTGGGCCACGAACGCAGCCTCCTGGACTGCTGCTACCTACGTTTTCGGCTGCTACCAGCTGTGAGGGCTACTCCCGTACATGGCGATGGCTTGAGGGAACACCTTCTTTATGAGCCTCATTAGCTTGGCCATGCTCCAGCCAGCAGTGAGCTGTGTGTACAAGTGGCTGGACGATCAAGGATACAGCCAGTGGTTGGGAATCCAATTCCGACCTCACGTGCTTTTTCCCGACATTTGCCTTGCGGCTGCTGCATTTGAGCACACGCGTGGGGGAATGTACAATTTGCTGGAGGAACAGATTGGGGCGGTGGACATCCGGTGTCAAAAAGATGCTGCACGGAAGATGCGTGGAAAAAGGACATGGGAAGCAGGCTGATAGGCTATGGGGGAGAGGAGGTTTCAATTTGTAAGAAGCTTTCTTTGGAGCAGATCATATCTGGATTGCCGCCTGGGGGGCATGGAGTTGGTGTAGATGCTTTGGACTGGGTAGGCCCCCATACTAGTACCAGGAATTTTCTACTTAATGTCCATGGATGCCATGGAAAATGCACACTTGCAAAGGTGAAGAGTTGGCAATTGCATGGGAGCTGGTGAGACGGAACATTTGCCAGTGGATTCCCCTTGAAAAAGTTCACCAGGTGCAATCTCAACCAATTTTGAATGGGTTGCTTCGAGTTTCAATACCAGCAGTGCTTACGGCCGGCTGGGTGAGAAAAATGTGACCGGGAAACCCGAGCGAGATGGGAAGATGACAGCTATAAATTTCCCCCATATCAATACCAGCAGCAGTTTGTTTTCACTTCAGATACTTCATGGCGACTAGTCAATGCAAATGAGAAGGAACTTCTCTTAGGTTATGGGTATCGGCATACTGAGGTGGCATGGTCGGCTGCAAAGATTAAACAAAACCAAGTGGGATTCAGTGATGCTCGTAATTCTTTCATGGGAGACTGCTTTAGCATTCACAGTTTTGTCTTGTTTGCGGTGGCTTGGTTGTAGGAAGTTCTTGCCAACAATCCTCCACAAACTTTTGTGCAGGCGAATGGGGCTGGCACCTGGATTCCGGGCCCCTCTTAGATGTTTGGCACCCTAGGGTAAGCAACTGCTCTATAGAGCCCCAAAACTGATATTGAACAATTTGGATGGGGGGCCTTACTCCCTTAACCGTATTCTGTTGAGACCGGCCAGCCACCCTGGCTCCGACGTAAGGATTTCCAGTGGGGAGTTGTTGAGCCAGAAAGCCTTTCCAAGACAATCAGTTCAAGCTAGTTGGTGGACGTGGGAGCCCGTGTTTGCACAAACTTGGAAAACTAAGAAAGGCCCACATTAATGTTTTGGAATTGGAAGCCCTTCTTTTGAGCGTGGAGCACCAGGTCGGACGTTTCAAAGAATCTGACCGTAGGATTTTCACCTTTCAGATTCGTATGTGACAATAACTGTTGTTAGCAGTTACAAAGGGTCATGCGGCGCCTTGCAGCCGTCCTGTTGGCCCATGGTCTTTACTTGATACTTGCACATGTGGAGTCCACCGAAACCCTACTGTAAAACTAGTCGCTGGGAAGTTTTCCCGTGCGGAACGGGCCCGGCAGCGAGCTGGCTTGGATTTGGACGATTTCAGCCTTGGCACCAGCTATACCCAGCAACGTTAGTACCTTGCCTTGACGCAGAATGAGCACAGAATGACGAAGAAGAGGTGGATAACTATGTTTCTTGTTGGGTTCGGTTGACGTGGAGAAAGGGAGAACCTTCCCTTACCATCGGCGACAATTTGCCAGCCTTGCACTTTTTCCAGCCATGGCTTAAACGCCGGCTCCACGCATGGGTAGCGCCGGTAAGAGATGCCGGCTCGCGCACCACCGTTGACTTTGCGTTTAGTGCGAGGGATGGCAGCATATGAAGCTATCCTAGGGCATCTGGATGGCATCTGGGCACGCAGCCACTGAGGCAATCAGCATCACAGACATCATCACTTTAGAAACTTTGCGAGTCCTGTTGGGTACTAAGCGGGAACTCAACATTTCCGCCCTTCCACTGTGGAGTCGCTGTGGAGCGGCTTTCCGGAACACCCAGTCCATGGAAGCAGGTTTAATTAGGGGGCGTGTCTACATTTGAGACGGGCTAAGCTTTCGTCCCAGTTTGGTCCTATCAGATCGACTGCAAGCTCTGCTGAAGTCTTGTTACTTCCTGGACCCACTACGTGGGTGAACGCTCTGCTGGGGACCGTGGTATGGTGGTGGTGAGCTTGAGATAGATGATGCTGAAAAAATATTTCGCGCATCTCTCTTACAGATGCTGCTTCTTTCAGGAAGCTTTGTAGTTTGCTTCTACCATGAAGCATGGACGGATGAGATAGCGAGGAAATACTTACTCCCATGAAAGCTCATGTAGTTTGACGCTGCAGCTGAGGAGAAGCTGGCGAACAGTTCACTGGCGAGACAACGGTCTCAGAAATCAATGCCTTCGACTGGGCAGCACGGCAAAAGTGAAGGTCAGAGCACAAGAAGGTTCTTAGAACTCTTTGTGCGGTTGGCCATAACTGAGTGCTGCCTTCCTGCCTTCGGGCTCAACACTAAGGCCCGAACCTCCCCCTCCCGTATGGTAGTGGTGAACTTGAGATGATGCTGAAAAAAATATTTCGCGCATCTCTCTTACAGATGCTGCTTCTTTCAGGAAGCTTTGTAGTTTGCTTCTGCCATGAAGCTTGGACGGATGAGATAGTGAGGAAATACTTTCTCCCATGAAAGCTCATGTAGTTTGAGTTTGACGCACAGCTGAAGAGAAGCTGGCGAGTAGTTTCATTGGCGAGGCAACGGTCTCAGAATCAATGCCTCCAACTGGGCGGCACGGCCAACGTGAAGGTCAGAGCACAATGAATTTCATATCATAGCAGCAACTAGCAACATATATAAACAGTATGTATAGAAACTGACAGACCCCCATTGATCAGTTGCTTTGGGGGGGTTGATTGTTTTTGGCCTCTCTAGAGATGTGCAACCCGCCACTAAATATATAATGATATAGATGATTTAGTGCTGACTACTTGGCTCTCGACTCGCAAAAAACGGCGATGGAGCTGAATCGAACTGATCCTTTCACCAATAAGGCATTCGTGGATGCTAGACATGCATGCGTCCGGAGAAAATCGGCAATGGGTGATCTAGTGTAAATTTGGACGCCCTTCCAACCCCTTCCAATTGATCTTGGCAACATCGACAACCACCTTCCGGGCCTCGAACCTGCAGGTGCCCGGCGGCAAACTACGACGGTAACATCTCAATCAGTTCAATCAGTCGCAGCAGGTTTGGTTATTTAGTTGGTGGAGGTCAAGCATGTTTTGCTGTTTCAACACTGTTTTGCAACTACCCGGCAGTTTGATCCTGTTGGAAATTAGTATATAATCCTTCATGGATTGCTTTGAAATCTTAGAAGATGAGGTTTTTGTGGACACAATGTGTCACAGGGTGACATACAAAGGGTGGAACCAGGTCACTTCCTTTCTGGGTTCGGCTTTATTTCCTAACCAAAGGGATGTCTTTCATTGCTATTGCTGTAGTTCATTCTGTGAAAGTGCAGTGCACAAGAGGCAGGGTAAGGCAAGGCTCTGAACATGCGAACAAGGCGATCAAATTTTGGTCCCACCTCAACAGGCGCTGCCAGTGCAGTTCGTACTCCGCGTGATGCCTCTAGGGAACATGGCGCAGGACGGATGTTATGATGGGGAGCAGTCTCGACATGTCTTGACCCTTGCGGGTTACTACTGATGCAGTCAGAATTGACTGTGAAACCAGTGGGAAGGAAAACCAAGGGGTATTCTCACTGCAAATGAACAAATGCTTCCCTTGCATCCCAAGTGGTTTGGGCTATGATGTGGATACATTTTTACAGTTTTTTACATATTTTTACATTTGACATCATGTTGCGCATTGCATTCGTTCGAGCCACCGCACGATCCCAGGTCTTCGATTTCACAGTTAGCAGTGAAATTTCAACGTTTTTTGAGGTGCCCTCGAAAGAACTTCCAACTTCAAACATCAATCAAACATAATCAAACACTATTTCCAGCATAGTTTCAGTGTGTTTCGGTTCATGGTTGGTCGACTTGTGATACCTGCGCCGCCTGCGCCTGCTTCAGGAAGGCCTCAACGAGAGAACAGCATCGGTCCTGTAGCAGGGGCACCACGGGCCACTCGAGAACGAGCAGCTGCAAGGGTAGCAGGCCCTGGTGGTTTGGCCTGGTGGTTTCAGCTGTCCCTGATGTTTAGTGGCTATATGATATATAATATATATAGGTTGCTATTCTTTTCTATTGGAAAGACATCCAACATCGTTCGTTTTGGTGAACACATCTGAAAACATGTCAATGCACTCATTTTGGCATTCTATTGTGAAGCAGCCTTTGTCATGTAGGCCAACCCATTCGAACCCCCCGTGATGCATGCGGAGATTCCTGCCATGTGCTCAGCATGTTAACCTGGTGCCCATGGAAGCACAAATCATGATAAGATACAGTACTACGATTCAACAGGATACACGAATTCTATTGGGAATCCCACCACTAAGAAAAACTGGTGTTCCAATGGTCTTGATCTTTGTCCTTGAAGACTTTGCAGGGTGTATGTCTTGCGTCTCGGCCAAAGTCTTTAGCCCCAGGTGGGCGTGGCATCAACAGCCCTAGGCTCGCCATGTCCAGCCAGATTACTTGATCGCAGACACCGAAGGTCTTACGTTTCCGTGTGTCTTGCGGTTCCATTCATTTAGTGTTTCTGATCCGAAGGCCTCATTGAATATATAGTAAAATAATTTATAATTTATATGGAATTATAATAGTCTATATAATAACAGTATATATATATAGGACAGCCAAAACTTCCCGATCTTGCATTCATCGGAGAGCAAGCTTTGCTGCCAGCACCCGTCCTGCCTTGCGAGCAACAGTTCAAAACTCAAAAGAGCGGCGTTGAGCGACAAATGACATCATCTTTGCCCACTGAAAGACTTAAGTACTCAGGGATTCCAGCATCAATGGGCCACAGGCAACTGTCAAGGTCGTCCCGAATTTTCTCAAATTGCCATGGGGGAAACCTCGAAGAGGGATGACTTCTTCTAGACTGTGTTTACAGGGGGAGCACCTAAAAGGCTCGGGAAGGATGACATTGACTTCCCGCTGGATGACAGTGACAAAAGAAATTCTTCGTGGGGACATGAGCTGTTGCAACCTCAGGTTTCAACGACGGCGGCAATGCCACCATCGACTCCAAGGTCATTGGGATGATGTCAACATGTAGCATGTCGATGTTGTTGATTACAAATTGAGCTTAAACGCTTAAACTATCTCAAACGAATGATATGGCACTTTCAGCCAACTGATTGGTGATTTAAATCAAATTGCGACATAACTTGAAGAAGATCCATGGTCAATCACGATCCCGAACTTAAAACTTACGCATACGAACTGCAGAATGGCTGCTGGCGACTAATTGCACAAGAATACCAGACTTACAACTTA